TCTCTCTCTCTCTCTCTCTCTCTCTCTCTGTCTCATTGTGTCATATGGATTACTGTTAATTTATTATGCTGATCTGTTCTGTACGACATCTATTGCACGTCTGTCCGTCCTGGAAGAGGGATCCCTCCTCAGTTGCTCTTCCTGAGGTTTCTACCGTTTTTTTTCCCCGTTAAAGGGTTTTTTTGGGGAGTTTTTCCTTATCCGCTGTGAGGGTGTTAAGGACAGAGAGATGTCGTATGCTGTAAAGCCCTGTGAGGCAAATTGTGATTTGTGATATTGGGCTTTATAAATAAAATTGAATTGAATTGAATTGAAATTGAAATAATTGTTGATTTTTGATTAAATTATTATTATTTTTAATATTAAGACTCCACACTATGTAGAAATTAAAACTAATTAAAAATGGGAGATGCATATCTTTCGGCACCTTTGAACACAACAGCACTTGTATCTAGGCCATGTACAGTAGGCTACATGAAGGCCTCAATTTAAAATTGAGCCATGACAAAGCGTTTTGTTATGTGCTGTTAATTGCCCTTGTTCATTGCAGGGTGCACAGACAAAGCGCTGTTCATGGTGCTGAAATGTAGGGACGTCAAGGCATCATACATGACTCATTACACAAGTCCACTCCTTTAGTAATTCAATTCCACCGACGTGCACGGCTGAATTCAAGTGGCCAGCTGTAACTGAGGATCTTCAAACTATCAACGGCTACCAGGATCTCTTGTCCTGATGGGGCTTCAGAGATATGGGTGCGAAATGATGTATTTGAAAGTTTTGCTTGGTCCTTGTCCTCCATTACAATGACAAAAGCAACACTACAGTAAAGTCGTAGTTCCTTTGCCAGACACACACAAAGCTGAATATCCTTCAAATGGCTGACGGGTGATTTACAGTTTTTTTTTTTTTTTATCCCGCTGAAAGAAGTGTTGTTTAGGTGCAGCGCGCATGCTGCTTCTTAAGTGATTACCGACAAAATCATGGTCCAATGCAGAGCAGGCTGCATGGCGCTGTGACGCTTGGTGTCGGGAAATATGATACGGTAGCTATAGTGAAGCCGCTGTTTATTATCAGGCCCCATCAGCGCGAGGTGCGGACTGCTGGAGACGCGTCAGTTTGCTCAGTACAGGAGCTGTGATGCGTTCACCAATGCAAATGACAAAGATTCCCCTCCTCCTCATCCCATTTCCCTCTCACCAGCACACACACTCACGCACAGCGTACTGCCTGCGCTTCATAGTGCCGCGCCAGCCTTTGACAGCGACGGAGAGCAGCACTGACTGGGAGAGAGAGAGAGAGAGAAAGAAAGAGAGCGAGAGAGAGATTATATAATAGCAGCGGTGGGAAATGCTGGAGAGCAGTGGAGCCTTCACTGGACAGTAAGCGGGGAAAACAGCAAATACAACGGCCATTAACCGATAACCTGAGTGATCGCACGATACAAGGATGCCGAGCGTCCACCTCACGGCTGAAGGTAAGCCGCGTAGCCTGTGTTCAAATAATATAAATGGTGGAAGCACGTTGAGGGGGTTTAAGATGGAAGACCTCGGATTCTTAAATAGGTGATGCGTGTTTACACGCGGTGTTCATTGATTTATCTTTCAATATCCCATTCATCCCGTTATATCCACACAGATAGACAGACAATGGATTTGTTAGGATCATTTTGTGTGAAATGGGGAGCTGAATAGAACTTGGGGCACCCAGACTTGATCAGATATTGTTCATTGTGCAAACTGTTGCTTCTATCCTCGGGAGCCCTAGGCTACCGCACCCCTACTTTTTTCCGTGATGGTGGTATTGGGGGGTTACCGGGTACATAGTGGCGGGTCCGCTTCACGAGTTAGAACACGAGAGGCCTCAGATGAAAAGTAGAGCTGAAGGGCATGACGGTGTGCGACTGCCACCGAGACAACAGGTCAATAATGGATATCATCGGATGTGACGGAGGAGAGACAGTCACTGGGGGGTGGACAAACAGAGCTGGTGTTACATGAGAATCTTGAATCAAGGGGGGCAAGAGACCATCGTGGCAGAAAACATATACAATAGCACACAGGAGTGGGACAGGGCTGCACATCACTGCTCCTCTTTTCAATCAACGTATCAGGCTTAACGCTGGCAATACTGATCATCCAGACATCTTCAAAATTGTCATCTTTGCATGTTTTTTAGTCATCATCTATTAATCTTTCTACAGATTGTCAGCATACTGCTGCAATAATCCCCATTTCATAAGCACCCATAATGCTCTCCACACAGATTTTTTTCATCCCATGATGTCATTTGAGTGTGTTAACTGAGACTAGGGTAATATCAGTGTTCAAATAAATATAATCGGACTGTGCAGGGATTGAATAAAATCTATGCATTGAAAGGCAACCCCTTCAAAAGTCATATTAGTGAAGGTTGGTGTCATTTTCTAACTTCCCTCTTTAAAAAAAAATGAATGTGATAGGAAAGCACCACCAGATGAAACAGGAATTACAGGAATTGCAGAGTACAACTTGAGGCAGGATTTGAACTGAAAACAAATTGCAGGAATGAAAGCAACAAAGCAGCAGACACCAAGGGATGTGTTTCAAGATGCTGCAAGACAGAAACAGAAGCCCATATGTCAGCATGAGCTGTGCATTTAATTCACCAGGCATATAGTTCTGTTCCATTAGATTGTGCTCACATACAGAGAAATACACTCATGCTTCAACTCTGTGCTTTTCTGTTTTTGTGCTCTAGCTTTTCCCCATGATTATCCTGAAGTCGGTGACCACAGCCTTGGATATTAAACCTCTTTTTTGTGGCATATCCATTGTTCCACCACTGCTGTTGGACTCTGTTGTGACGAAGGACCAAGATACAATGTCTACAACATTACCAGATGCTGCAGGTCTTTCTAAGATCGTGAAGTTGTAAGTAGGTTACAGATCTCCTTACTGCTGATCCATGAAATGGCCTTTCACTGAGGTAAGAGACAGTAAACAGGATAATGGCGCCCCTCTACAGACTGCACTGCCTCTTAAAGCGGGCTCAGATGCTTCTGCTCTGTCTGGGCATTGCCTATCTGATGGCAGGCAGTATCCTGCTCCTGCAGCGCTCCAGCATCAGAGTAGCCCAGTCAAACCTTGCCTGCCAACCACCCTTGCTGTCCCTCGCGGCACCTCCTACTGCCTTCAGGACTGCCGGCCTGGGTGTGAGGGCACGTTCCAGATGGGCTGCCATTCAGCCTGTGTCCAGAGGGGGAGCAAGGGCAGGGCGACACTGGCCTGCTTCCCAAAACCTGGGGGTGCAACACTTGCATCACCGCTGGTTTCACAGTTTGCTGCCAGAGAGCACAGAGCACAGAGTCTCACCCCACAAGAGCAGCAGGCATAAAGGTACATAACTGTACAGACCTAATGGCTGTTTCTGTCAATGAATCCAATACTTAAAATTTTAAAGGCACTCTGAAATGTTAGATTTGTCGCTACATTGAGTGGACACTGTTATCCTTAGTCCAAGACTTACAGGCCCAGTAGTGTGTAGGATTTAGTGGCATGAGATTGCAACCAACAGAAATTTCTCCCATGTGCCAGGCATGTAGGAGAACTACAGGGATTGACATGAAAACCTAAATCTGGAGCCAGTGTCTGATTTGTCTATTCCATGCTACTGTAGAAACTGAAAGAACTGTAGACTCTGTTTGGACCTGCTCTCTATGTAGATATAAATGGCTCATGTTATGGTAACAAAAACAACAATTCTTAGTTTCAGGTGATTATAAACAAATGAAAACATAAGACCATTATCTTCCATTTCTGCTAATATACCTCCCTAAATGCTAGACACTGGACCTTTAAATACTGAGGTTAACTTCATAAGCATCAGTGCAGCTTACCTTATAGCTAACTGGCCAGCAGGCAAAAGAAGCAAAGCAGCCAGTGTTAATGTTAACATCTGACACCTGACTGCTGCTTGCCCTATTTGTATTAATTAATATGCCAGTGAGATGTAAACAACATGAAAGAAATAGTCAGCTGAATACTATTTTTAACCAAGCAATCATGTGAATGCAAAATTAATGTTATTCTTCACCACAAACTGCAGAGAACTGAACCAAGTCTAATGCATTTTGTTGAGAATGTAAAGTTGTGCTTTAACCATCAGCTACTTGTTGTCAGCTTCTCTGAAACTAAAATCCAAAACACACTGCCAGCGCCACATGACGGCGGCGTCATTGACACGAGTCAGGTGCTGCCCCCAACACACACAGGGGGTGTTTCTCAAAGTCAAGGATTCTTCCTTGGGGGGACGTGTCCTCCAAGGAAGGATCCTGCAGAGGCAAGGCAAGAGTCCTCCCAAGCATTCAGTGAATACACAATGAAACAGGTTAATAAGTGTCCCCATGTGATCGTCATTAACCCTCAGCAGACTGAGGGGGTTTCAGTTACTGTGATCATTTTGGCACTCTCCAATGTTGTTGGACAGTTTTAAACACATGCATCAGTACTGTCAGAGTCACGTGACTTTTAGGGAGAATATATTTCTGGATCGTATTTAAGAGTAAGCGGAGTAATGGAGTAAAGACAACAGCTGAAAAAGTTCTAAATTATCATTAACAGTATGAACACAGACTCACACACTCTGTCATTTCACAGTGATCCATATTTTCTGTGTGTCACCACACACACTGCGCTACAATAATATGAACAGTTCTGATCTGATGAGCTGAGCTGCTCTGACTCAGCTGATCGTGCCAATTGTACATTATACCAACGGGTAATCCTCTTAAATATGTTCACCTCAAAACAGAAGAGTGATGCTTTGACCTTCAGCATATTCTAATGTCTTTACTGTGGCCATTCTCACCGCGAAAGCTCCTCCTGCCAAGCTCCGCAGCGCAGGTTTCATTGAGGCGGCCCCGCACTCACTTCCAGCAAATCGTGTACTGTGCAAAGCATTGTGGGGATTTTATACCTGCGGAGGATCCACACATGCATCCTTCAATTTCTCTGAAAGAAGGACTCAGTCCTTGGTGAAACTCGGAATGATCCTTGACATTGGTACAGTCCTTTGGCGGGGGTCGATGACGTAATGTCCTTCAAATTCGGCCGTTTGAGGATCCTTCCTTGACATTGAGAAACGCCTACAGAAAGCGTCATGCTGCGGGGCATCAACTGGAATTCTATTGTACACTCCACTCTGCTAGGTGGCGGTGATGTGACTAGCTGGTTGCCAACCGCCAATTAGAACAAAAAACAAGGAAGAAGACACAAGAAGAGAAAGACAACACACAATGGAGGACGACCACCACAACCAGACAACGACGGTACCTTCTTCTCTGCTCTTCAACAGAGCTGCTACTACGGGAGTACAAAAATAGTACAAAATAGGCTTTTCTCTGAATAAGAAGCGCTTTTTCAAGGGCTGCGACGCTAGAAAATAGGACAATAGCGAGAAGTGCCGTGGTTCGTCATGTCACGCGTGTCGACATCCCGCTGGTGTGGGTTTGTAAATAGAGAATAATGGGGGCGTCTCTTTTGACGCATGTCGTACGGCGCCGGTGTGTTTTGGCGTTAAGGGACCTCCAATATGTGGTTTTGTGGCCTCTTTACAACATTTAATGTAGTTTGCCAATCATTAACTGACCTTGAAAATCTATAGCCAAGGTTGTGCACTTCTACTGCCAATAAAAAAAGCATTGCAAAGTCAGTGAAAAGGCTCTTAGCTTTCATGCAGTCATGCTGTCTGAAATAGATTAGTGGAAGGGAGGATATGTGAGACAGATGTATGAAGAAGCAAATACACCCGTTTGTTTTCTGTTATGTGATTTACGTTTTTAGCTCAGATGACCTGGAGCTGAGGTAACACACTTGCTGTACAAGGCTTGCATGGGACACACACAAGGCTTCATTGACATTTATGAATGGATAATCATGACCTTTGAACATTTAAGGAGCATCATTATACATTTATATGACATTTTACTTGTGGTTGCTTCACTTTGATCGATGAGGGATTCACTAACCCTCTAAAAACCAGAGAGGGAAAAAGGAAGGTAGTGTCTGGAAAATAAATTAGAATATATGAAGATAAAAATTATATAATTCCTTGCTTGTACTCACTGTTAAGGAGCCTTTAGCATTACTTGACTACTTTAAGACATCCCTGGAGATTTACTCTGCTGTTTAACAGTGCTTAGTAGTGACTTTGCCATTTTGCTGAAATAATAAATACAATAGAATTACCTCCAGTGAGACATTTGTTCTTCCCACCCATTCTTGAAAAGCATCCTACAAGAGCTCTTTATCCTTTATTTTGACAGACACCACATAACCACTTAGTCACTAAGAAGGGTAATACAGATAATGGCCACATTTCCCAGTTAAGAGCGATCTTACTTAAGAGCACAGTTAAGAACGTCTTTGGTCTGGTGTTTCCCAGATGCGTTCTTTATGCCCTTCTTAGGATCGCTCTTAAGATTGCTCTTTAAGAAGCTCTTAACAGGAGCAGGCAAATCAATCACCCACCACTTAATCAGCGCATAAGTCACACACAGTGCTGCTACCTAACGCACTAATTCCCTGTTGCTTGTGTGTACGTGTGTTCTAATAATTCTAATGAAACCTATTTTCATGATGACAACAGAACTACAACTAAATAAGAAGTAGTCTTGGTAAGAGAATCATGAGGAAATGCATTATATTTAAACAAAAAAACATAGACGCCTTGCTGAGGCCACTCCCACCACCTCCAGGAAGCTCCCCACTGCGTAAAAATGCAGTGCAGCTAGGCACTGCACCTCCGGGCTGAGGGCGAAATTGCCCCAAGTTGCCCTCCAGATGTGTGTAGACACTAGTTGATGAGGCGTTGTATCTCAGCCGGTACTTCATTTGGACAGCCCGGTCTGACAGCACGTCGAGGGGGCTGAAGTGCTGACGCACAAATGCATTTACATATACGGTTTGGCTTCACAACGCCTTTATATAGAGTAGTGGGTGGAGTGTCCCTTGATGAGGTTCCAGCTGAGCTCAATTACACCTGTCAGTTGCCTGATATCTGAATGTCGCAGGTTTGGAGGGTGGATGTGTTTCTGTTGTGCCCTGATGCATTTTTTGGGTTTTCATATGTGCATGCAGATGTGGGATATGTGCAGACAAATCATGATAAATGATAGTCATGATGATTAATTTTATTTGTGTGCCTGATGTGCACAGCACACACAGGAACACACTTGTTATTTCTCATACTTATTTTTCATCTTATTATTATTTTTCTTACGCCAGATTTCGGTGCATAACTTGTGCCACAGCTTTGAGCACACATAGGGTCTTCATAACACATATAGATTCAAGATTCAAAGTGTTTATTGTCATATGCACAGTAAGGACACACGTTTCCCTGCAGAATGAAATTTGTTCTTTTCTGTCACCAATTAATGCTAAACAATCTGAAGTATCTATAAAATAGATAAAAATATATATGGTGCGCACTGTTTTAACATGTCTACGGAGCCCCAAAAGTCCCCAAAAAAGAAAAAAAAAATCTATCTCGTGCGCACGAGATACTAAACTAACAATCATACTCTTATACATACACCACTATACTCTCACACAAACACTACTATACCTTCTTACATGCATAATCATACTCTTATACATACACCACTATACTCTTACACAAACACTACTATACCCTCTTACATTTATCATCATGTTTTCTTTTCTTTACTGTCATACTCTTAGTGTAACAGAGGATAATATTATATGTATGTAAATATGATAGTATCTACATGAAAGTAACAGTATATGTAAAACAAAGTTCTAATATATGTAAGAGAGAATAATAATATATTTGAAACAGAAAAATAGCATATGTAAGAGAAATTAGTTGTACATGTGAATGCAAATAATCATGTGTAAGTAACAAAATGACAGTGAATGTAAGACAGAATGATAGGGTGTGTGAATGAGAATAGTTGTTTGTGTGACAGAGTTTGATTGAAACGGAAGGGAGTTTGATTGAAACGGAAATAAGAATGAATTCTCAGTTTGTGATTGGTTATTTTTGATGAAGCGAGAAGAAGGCCCGCCTTCCCAATCATAATATGAGAAGATGGCGGAACTTGAGAGACTCAGTGAAGCTGTTGGCCTCTGACTGTCCACACAGGCCACTGAGCAGAGTGGAGCGCCCACGGAGGCTTGCGCACTGCAGCGCTTCATGGCCTGGACACACCGGACGCGGAACCGAAGTGCAGCGCCCAGCAATCGGCGCCCTTGCCTGTCCACACACTGAATGAATAGGGCATATTGTTCTGACCATTTTATTTATGGCTGTAGGCTTGGTGACACAAAATTAAAATTGTAAAGAAGTGATTACGGTATTGAAAAATGTGTGC